CTCAAATGCCCCTCCTTCAGGAAGGTTGGCCAGCCACCCCTGACCCAAAGGAACGGCTCCCGGTCTGCTCCCGGCCCTCCTCTGCATTCAAGCCTTTGAAGTCTTCTCTCACTGATGTGTCTCCTAAGTGGGCACTGGCCCAAGGCATGGCCACGCTGGAGTGCCCCCTGCAGAGCCCTAGTGTGGAAAGTAGGGGCAAGGCCTTTACAAAGTTACAGTCTCATCACCACCAGCTCCCAACAATTTGGGAGCCTACTATTCAAGGGGGTAAGTTGGGCAGGGGGCTCCCTCAGAGCAAGAGGTCCTAAGCCCCAGCTGGTCTCCTGGCTCCACCCCACCCCCAGGTCCAGGGCCCAGGCTAGCACCTCTGCCTGTTGCAGGCTGGACCCGTGATCTCTTAGCCCCCAGCCCTGGTCCCTTCTTCCCATGCTCACCCGAGCCATGTGAGGTCTCAGCCCCGGGCCCCCAGGGACGTGGCGGGTGGGTGTGGGAGCATAGCATGTGGAAGGTCAGAGAGGAGCTCCCCAGGGCAGGGGCCACCCCCCAACCTACACCCCTCCATCCCCTCCCCAGGCAGTTCCTCCGAGGCCCACCCCCTCCCAGGCTTCAGAGCTATATTGTGGGAAAAAGCCAAACCCAATGCAGCCATTAGAAAGGATGAGACATCCATGTGGATTGACTTGGAAATGAGTGGGTGGCATATTGTCAAGTGCCAAAACACAATTCGCCTAACAATATGTATAGTATGATCAGATCTCCATCAGCACAATCTCTAGGTATACAGTCACGTGAGCATGCATGCAGGTTTGCATTATGCAAAGAATTGTGGCTGGAAAGATATACAACACAGTTGACCCTGTTTCTCTCAAGTTTAGAACCAGAGAAGAAGGAAACATTTTTACCTTAACATCTCTGCATTTTGGTACATGAGGCAACAAAAGACCCCGAATAGTCAAAGCAATCCTGAGAAAAAAGAACAAAGCTGGAGGCATCACAATCTCTGAATTCAAAACATACTACAAAGCTATAGTAATCAAAACAGCATGGTACTGGCACAAAAACAGACACACAGATCAATGGAACAGAATTGAAAGCACAGAAATAAAACCACACATCTACAGACAGCTAATCTTCAACAAAGAAGCCAAGAACATACAATGGAGAAAGGAGGGTCTCTTCAATAAATGGTGTTGGGAAAACTGGACAGTCACATGCAAAAGAATGAAAGTAGACTATTATCTTACACCATACACAAAAATCAACTCAAAATGGATCAAAGACCTGAAGGTGAGACCTGAAACTATAAAACTCCTGGAGGAAAATATAAGCGGTACACTCTTTGACATTGGTTATAGAGGGATCTTTTTGAATTCCATGTCTACAGGGACAAGTGAAACAAAAGAAAAAATAAACAAGTGGGACTTCATCAGAATAAAGAGCTTCCGCAAGGCAAACAAAACCAGGATAAAAATGAAAAGACAACCCCCCAGCTGGGAGAAAGTATTTGCAAAGCATATATCCTACAAGGGGTTAATCTCTATAATACACAAAGAACTCACACAACTGAACAACAAAAAACCAAACAACCCAATCAAAAAATGGGCAGAGGCTGGTGGCGTAGTGGTTAAGTGTGCGCGCTCTGCTTCAGCAGCCCGGGGTTCACAGGTTCAGCCCGCGCACGCACCAATGCACCGCTGGTCAAGCCATGCTGTGGCGGCGTCCCATATAAAGTGGAGGAAGATGGGCACGGATGTTAGCCCAGGGCCAGTCTTCCTGAGCAAAAAGAGGAGGATTGGC